GTCAGTTACAATCACGGCAAGTGTGTACAGCTTATTCTCAAGCCAGCGGAAGGCAGCAGTGACTGCCTCCACCTCCATTCTCAAACTAGCCGTTGTGATATCATATGCAGGGTTTTGTTGCACTAAGCGAGATCCATTCGCTTTTCTTATGAAACCCCATGCACTTCCTCTGTCCTCTCAACACAGAGTCATCTGTATGGATAATCGCATCACTTGGTAGGGAATTGTCATAAAATCATTTGTTGAACCTCTGATTCTGCAGCACCAGCTGGCCAGTCCTTGCACTCCCTACCTAAAATGATTAGAACCTTACACAAGTCTGAAACTTGATCGGACACCTTCACCCACTCCTCTGCTCGCCAAAACTTATTAAACCTGCACTCATTTCTCATTCTGTCTTCAGCTTGCGCCATCCGAGACCTTTCTCTTTTCAGTCTGGGACCCTTAACTCTACCCAGGGCTTTATGCAGGAGGTTCTTTCTGTCTGCAGCTACTCTGAGATATGACTTTGCTTGCAGAACTGTGAGCCTATCTGCAATAATAGGCAGTACAAGTATGTATCACACACATACTACCGGTGTATTTCTTGTACATCACTGAATTAGCAGCATAGCTTCATTCTGTAGGCTTTTAGGTTTTATCAGCTGACTCTTTCATATGGTAAGCATTTCAAACCCATAATATATCACTGACAGGATCACATGCTCTTTGTTCCATGTCCATTGCAACCATATTCCTTAGAACATTAAGTCCTTTCTGGCATTTTTCCGCAACTGCCTCCACATGACCCCTAAAGGACAGGCTTCTGTCAAAATGATACTGAGGTACCTCAGAGTGCTTCCTCTTTTGATGTTACTTTATTAATTGTGAGGCTTTGAACATTAGCTCTTACAATTATATTGTCTAGAGAGCACCACAAAACAGCCGCTTTTTCTGAATTGATGACAGCCTCCATTTACGCACACCAGTCAGTCACTTTGACCACAGTTGCTTATTAACTATCTGTTGTCTATCAGTCCCCTGCCTATATGCAAGAACTTCATAGGCTATTGTCAATATTCTTCCAACACCTGGTGCTTCAAGTTCTGCAGTTTTGCTTATATTCACATTGAAGAGCACTGGTGAAATTGCAGAACCCTTGCAGAACGATATTACATTGTTCCGAGGTCCATGTACCCAGGCGAAAGGCAACCATCTGTGAATGCAGGACGACTGCTATCCAGTTCACAAGCCAGAGACAAACTCCCTTCTCCGTGTGTGCAGATATCAAAATATCATATTTTACTCAATTGTAGGCATCCTTAAGACCAAAGTGCTGCCACTATCGTCTCCTGTCTGTTCTGGAACCCCTCATTAACATTAAAAGCAAAAGTAGCTGCATTTGACCAGGTATCTTTCCGTGGCCGGTAACTACCAAAACCTTTTGGCAGGAGCTTTTCCCTTTCCAAAAATATTGTAGTTTAACAACAATTATCTTCTCTAGCACGTTGCCAAAAGTATTTTGTAGGGTGATAATCTTGAAACCGCTGAGTATAGAATGATCTTTGCCTGGTTTTAGAAGTTGTTCTGATTCTCTGGTTGAAGTAAAATGCCACCTCCCCCAAGTCTCCATCACTCATGCTTTTCATGTGGGGATAACTGACTCCGTCTGACCCCGTTGCAGTGTCTTTTGATTTTTGTATTACTTATTTTATATCCACCACCGTAATGATATCCTGAAAAAAAGTAATTATTTATAGTATCAGGCAAATTATCTCTGACCTAATTTTTAAGCTTCCTACCATTATGATAAGTTTGGGCTTAAGGGCAAGGAACCAAGAGTCCGTATACGAATAAGGCAAATCTGGGAAACGGATGTGCACACAAGACTCAGATTTTGGAGCAAGACTAAAATGAGGAGGTGGAAGAGCACACAGAGCTTTCTGTCGGAGTTTACTAGCGGTGAACGCGAAGAAAAAGTTACGGTAAGGATTTCTAATTCTAGTAAACCTGCTAAGTTATGTGTTCCTTGTACTGCATATTTTTCAGACCGAAGCAGGCAAACAATGTACTGATACCAGTGAATGTGAAGAAGGTGAATGCTGTCAAATTCCAAACGAATATCTTGTGGTGAGCAGAAAAAGGGCTGACAAAGGAACATGTGAGAGATACACTCTGGAAGACGGCAGCTGCGGTATCTATGATAAGATCAACGGCTTCTGTAGCTGTGCGCCTGGTCTGAAGTGCACAGGTTTCGAAATACCAATAATAAAGAAATCGGTAGGAGTGGCCAAGAAATCACTCCTTCCTGCAAAACCTGGCTACACTTGGCTCTTCAAATGTGCCAAACCAACTGAGACTTCACAGCTGCAGCCATCCTTCTAGTAGAACGCACTGAAGAAAAGCTAATCTGACGTTTTAAGTCCAAGGGGTTGTTTAAATAATAACACAAGTTTAACAATAAAAATATGCCTTTAAAAACGAAAATTAACTTGTTTCCTTTTATTATTTATGAGGAAAATATGAGTGATGCATATTGTTTTTATATTGTGACTATTCTTTGCGTTAGCAACCTAGTGGTGTTTTTTCCTGGATTGGGGTGCCTGGGTTGGGTGAGGTAAGTGTTGGGGAAGAGAGGACGAATAAACGCACTGACCTCAATATGCATGTGGTTAAAGGCGTCGAATCAGGAATGTGTTGACATCTGATATATTGGGTCTAGTCCTGTTAGGATTTGAACCAATGATCGTTTCGAATCTGAGCACCTAACCTCTATACCACTGCGGGTTCCTCCGGTCATCCACTACTTTAAACTTTATTTATTTGTGCCGACTGCAGTATGAAAGTTGGTAGCAGTAAACATGTGCATTGAATGTTTTCTTTGGAATATAACATGACGAAGAACCGGTTTCTGACACAGAACAACTATCGTTTGGCTGTCTGAAAGGCAGGAGGACATTCTTTTTTCTAAATCGTCAGCCGCGGAAATCGATCCTTGGTATGTCGATGAATCGCGTTGGAGTAAACTGGTTACTGATTTAAGATTCGATATCATTAACCACCTGATAAACCATTAGGTGCTCCGTCTCCCGCAGCAATTATCCATAGGCATACATGCAAAACGTTCCGTAGCACAGTGATTATAAACTAGCCGTTCTTTCCCTCTCCTTAGTCTCTGCTTGCTGGATCCACATCTAATTACTCGTTCACACATTCCTAAACATGTTATCTAATCTAACCTCGTGTCTTCTATCAGCACTCGTTCATAAACGGTCTTCAGCATGTATCCTTTCCCCATTACGTGTTTCTGTAGCTAACGCTTCTGTAGCCAGAAAATCCGCTCTCATTTCCTCGCACTCATAGGAATATTGGACATAATAATAACTTAGTCGGCGTCTGTGGCATGGGCGTTGCGAACACGCTTCATAATACCGGGGTGCCAGGTTCAACCCCGGCTGTGGACAATCTATCTTGCGCTAGTTTTGACAGTGATACCGAGAGCTGACCGTTTAAAGGCAATGGCAAACTACTGAACGTCAGACTTGCTTAGAAAAACCACAACAACCAAATTAAATGCTGGTTTTTGTTCTGCAACGTCCTGAAACGCGTAAATGATACGCAACTAACGTAAAACTCGTACTAAACAATCCTGGGGTACTCAAGCTGTTCTGATGCTCTGGTTCAAGTGAAATGCCCCCTCCCTCAAGTCTTCATCACTTCATGTGGGCATACCTGACTGCCCCGTTGCAGTGTCTTTTGCTTTTTGCAGCACATATTTTCAGCATACTAAACATAAAATTTGCTTGGAAAAAACACAACAACCAAATCAAATGCTGGTTTTGGTTCTGCGACGTCCTGTAACGCGTAAAGAATACGCAACAAAAGCTTTATTATGATGATTATTACTACTGGTAATATTGTATTAACTTGAGTCTCTGTATTGTTATTGCTTGGTATTCACTCAACCCACATTAAACACATTTACTAACCTCAAAGACATAGCGCCTCACTATGTGCGGCCTCACAGTTCAATCCTTCGAAAATGATTTGGGCATTTAGTGGAAACGAAAGCACTGACAATAGCAACCAGAGTATACAGCGGTAGAAGCTGTACCGAACAGGTGATTATCGCTATTCGGCCGAATACGAATAACGGGACCAACTATTCGGCCGAATACGAATATTTAAAAAAAATAGTGTATAGTGTATAAAATAGATCTAAACACCATTCATAATGCCAATTGTACGCGAAACTCTTACTTCACAAAATGTAGTAGAGATTAATAAACATTTAAAAACATTTCAGTTGGTCTGTGATAACTAATAACTAGGAATGAAAGTATTCTGTTATATAACAAGTACCTCAACTTGCAAATTGTCACTGACAGCTTAGCTGATGCATGAAAGCTGCATTAGCTTTCTATAAAACTAATCGTTCAGGGTTGTCAGCATTAAGGCAGTGTATGCAGAAGCGGGTGTAAGGTAACCACTATTTGTATTCGGCCCGACCGCAAGTATTAGGCTGAATACCGAATAGTTATGAGGTCTACTATTCGGCCCTGAAGCGAATACGAAGCGAGTGATATGTACAGCTCAAAGTGGAAATATCAAGAGGGAGGGGACGACCAAGAAGTAACTGGACTGAAGGAGTCTCAAATAACTTGAAACTGAAGGAGTCAGAAATAACTTGAAGCTCCACAACATCCCAGCATACCAGACAACTGGGCGTGCCTCAAGCTCGTATACATCTGTTAACCTGCGTGCCTAGCAAGACAACGCTGAACATGGAAAACAAAAACAATCACGTCTCGACAATTTATGTACACTACACGATTGAAGACAGTCTACTGCAAACCTAACAAAGCTATGTGAATCTTTCCTAGGC